ATTCTGGCAGCATATTTTCAGGTCCAATACCGTAACAGCATAAACGAAACTTTTTGCAGCACAAACCAGCACAAACGAACGACACCACTTTTGTCCAATTTGGAGCTACCTGGGGGGCTGAGTGACGTCATCAGAAATATATAAAGCTGTAATATCGCAAATACCGTAACAGCACAAACGAAACTTTTTGCAGCACAAACCAGCACAAACGAAGCACAAACGAACGACACCTTTTTTGTCCAATTTGGAGCTATCTGGGGGGCTGAGTGACCTGTGGATGACCCCAAAAGTATTGTTTAATATCTCAAAAACCGTAACAGCACAAACGAATTTTTTTGCAGCACAAACCAGCACAAACGAAGCACAAACGGATGACACCATTTTGGTTTTATTTTGCGATGAATAGGGGGGGCCAACTTCACGCAGATATCAGACGTAGATATCAGAAGCGGCACTGCGCTGCAGCGATAGGCGCGGTGATGACGTCACGAGTGGCGCAGGAAGATGGTCGACGAGAGAGACACTGGACACGACAGGCCATGAAACGGTAAACAATCACACGCATTTTGCCAGTCAACACCTTCATCTGATCAGATACCGATCTCATTGTTTTTACGTAAGGATCGTCAATAAATGTACGTCTGCAACGGGCAGCGGAGGGTTACGTATTATTGGTATTTAATTCTTTATTTTTAAATAACATTTTTACGGCCTTGAATCTCTGATGATAGTTTAATAGAGGAAGAGATCTAGGTCTGTGACGCTACATGTATATTGAGGTTGTTAACTAGCGTTAGGCTAATTGCTTAACGTGCTGTGGAAATATTGAAAACTGTTTATTTATAAGTAAAAATGCACCGGAGATAGATTATATATGTGATGTCATCTGAAAAGACGTGCTATTAAATTATCAGAGGAGGATTTAAGTCTGTGTTTTTCTGTTCTTGTCAGGTATGATGACAGACAGTCACAGCCAGCCTGATCAGAAAGCATGGGGGTCAGGCTCAGTGGGAAGGTAAGACAGGCCAAACAACAGGAGGGTGTGGCACTAGAATACTTGCCCATCATCATCATCATCTTCTTCATCATCATCATCATCATCACCACTTGCATTAGTGCAAGGAGGGATTTCAGCAGGTTGAGTACTCTGTGTCTTAAACATCCAATCAACACTACTGTTCTTGTGTTATTGCTGATTATATCAAGCTCAACCAGTAACTCAGACCTCAAAGTTTTAGGGTTTATCATAATTTAACGCAAGGAAATCCCCCCGTTTGAGAAACTGGAACCATCAAAATTTGCAACATTTGCATGAAAAATTATTGATCAGTTTTTGTTGATTGTCTAATTGTTCCAGCTGGAATTTTATATCCCATTGGCTAATCATCATATCTTTTAAACTCCTCCCAGGTTTTGTGCGTAAAGTCAAAATTTGAAAGCTAACTAGGAGCTCTAGCTGTTAAATAAATGTAGTGGAGTAAAAAGTACATTAATTTCTTATGGGGTGTAGGTATAAGGTGGCGGCAAATGGAAATATTGTAATGTACCTCAGACTTGTATTTCACCCGTGCTGTTTGCACTGCAGGGACAACATAGCCGCAGGTTGGTGATCTTCGTGGCCATCTTCATCGTGATGACAGTTCTTTTCCTGTACAGCTCTAACAATGGCATCGGTGGCACCTATGCTCCCTTCCATGTGGCTTCAAATCATGCTCTCTTGACCACAAACTTGAAGAAATGGGCTGGGAAAGATGGTTATGTGCCAGTTTATGGGAATAAGGTATTTAAGAGTTGGCTCACAGACACAGAGGTTACAGCTGTAGCTTCAAACCCACATTATTACACTGTTTATTATTGTGTGTGAGACAATGTTTTTCTGTTCCTTGCACAAAGACTGATTAAATGATTAGCTTGCATGTAGTGTGGTTTGTTCTAATAAATACCAGCAGAAGTTGACAAGTTTGATTTTGTTCTTTTTAGAGTATGGCTCTACACTGTCAAAACTGTGCGCTGGTGACGAGCTCCAGCCATGTCCTGGGCAGTCGAGCGGGTGAAGAGATCGACCGTACAGAGTGTGTGATTCGCATGAACGATGCCCCCACATTGGGGTATGAGACTGATGTAGGGAATCGGACCTCTTTGAGGGTCGTAGCCCACTCCAGTGTGTTCAGGGTGGTCCGAAGGCCTACTGAATTCTTCCACCGCACAGATACCAACCCTGTGATCATCTTCTGGGGACCCCCAAATAAGATTGGGAAGGATGCCAAAGGAACCTTGTACAGATTGATCCAGAGAGTCAGCATGACCTACAGTAACGTGTCTTGTTTCAGTATTGCACCCAGCAAGATGCGCAAATTTGACAGCCTGTTTCATAGAGAGACAGGACGAGACAGGTGAGCATTTAGAGACCTAGTGTAGTATGAATCACATTTTATGTCAAGCCCATAGTAGGTAAATGTTACAATCACAAGCTTTTTGTTCTTGTTCTTTCTGCTCAGACAAAAGTCTCACTCATGGTTGAGCACCGGATGGTTCACAATGGTCATAGCCATTGAGATATGTGATAATATCAAAGTATACGGGATGGTTCCACCCAATCACTGTGTGTGAGTATAATGATGGCACTAACCTTTTTAAAAACAACCCATTACTTCCTATATTTTTGCTAAACACAGATAAACTGGTTGTCCATTTTTTAAACAGAAAAAAACCTGTATCTAAGAAGACACCCTACCACTACTACAAACCAAGGGGGGCTGACGAATGTGTAACATATCTACAGAATGAGAGTGGTCGAAGAGGGAATCACCATCGCTTTATAACCGAAAAACAGGTGTTTGCACGCTGGGCTAAGCAGTACAACGTCACCTTTACTCATCCTAAATGGTGAGCAGACTGTAAAAACCACAAAGCACTGCGGGCTGGATCTCGCTCTCACTTTCCCCACTGAGCCTTCGGATGGCCACATGATCAGAGTCAGCTGCTGACAAAATGACTGAGGGGAAGTCCAAGAATGTTTTGTGTTGCAGTTTGTCAATGTATATTCCACATCAACATGTGGCAGCCACCTGACAAGTGTTTTTGTAAATAGAAAAGACTGAATTTTTATGTTTATATTTTTATTATTGAACATGTACTTAGGTTTCTCATGTTGAGGGGATTATATCAGCAAGGAATCTAATTAGATATGACTAAGTGGCCAACAGTACACATGCTGTAGCTGTATTTGTCCGTTATACAGATATACTCTTCGTTAATTGCAATCAGATTCTGCAGATGACTAATTGAGTGTAACGTGGAGCCTTACCATATACAGTATGACCAGGCAAAATTTGATTCAGTGCCATCTTGCAATACTAGATTTTAAATATTTGGTGCTACAGATACATTTTGTTTGGTGCCAACCCTGGTGAACAGGTGTTAGTGAAAAATGACTATAAAGACCATTAGGATGAAGCATTTACAGCATCTTCAGTGTGAGGCATTCAATCTGTGCTGATTCAACAGTGACAAACAATTGGGCACATACAGATTGTTGAAATCTTGTGGCGGCCAATTTGTTTTTTTGTCAAATTATACACAGTATTTTCCTATCCACCTAAGTTGATACAGTATACCAGCAATTTTCTGACTTCATGTTTTTATGAAAATTACTGTTAACATCACCTCTAAATTGCCCCCAGCAGTGGTTGTGTATCTAGCCCCAGGGGTTCCACGTCAGTGACTTCTGTGCCGGTCCCAAGCCTGGATAAATAGGGAGAGTTGTGTTAGAAAGGGCATCTGACATAAACCCGTGCCAAATTACTAATGTGAATTGTATTTGTTTTGGCGACCCCTAATGGGAACAGCCAAAAGTAGTAGTAGTAGTAGTCTGTTAACATGTCACCTCACAGCTTAAACCTTGATACCTCATTGGCATGCCAGCGCAAGCAGCTTGAATTCAAATGCATAATGGACATGTTTTGTACCAGTATGCTGCACAATTAAGTTAAAAATAAAATTACAAATTTTATATAGAAATATGATTCATAAAAAGGCATCTATTTTTCTTAATGCTGCCTTGTATCTCAGTACATGTAACTTGCTTGATTAGTAGTGATCATTAGTCTTTGTTGTTCACTTTGAAACTACAAGTCAGTGATGAACAGAAAAAAACTACACTGACTAATGTGCTACTTTACAAAGATTAAAAATTCCTAATTGGTTAAAATTTACTGAGCCATTGGCCTGAAAAACCTCAAATGGGTTTCTAACCTTTTGTCCACACAATTTATTTTAATGAGGGAAGACAAAGTATGACTGACATATTGGACTACTTTAGTTTTAGCTAAGTAATTATCTGGAAACTGAATGTATATTAAGCTTATCCGCAAAGTCGCATATTCATCGCAGAAGTAACCCAGAAGGATATTGCAGGCCCTATTTCCACCTGGCATTAAAATGAAATCTCTGGCTTTCTTGTCTGGATGAGGGGAAAAGAAATACTAATATAAGGGGGTAGATGCATGCAGCATACATGACAACTGAAATGGGAGTGCATCTGGGAGACAATCTGATGAATCTATTTTACCTACTCACTCAGAAATCTGAAGCTGACTTTAGTGTTTATTGATGAAAATGCAGCTCAGATGTTTAGTGCTGCTTGTTTGTCCATGTTGTGCTGGTCTCACCACTGTTTTTCATGGAAAGGTCTGTACTGTTTATCAAAAAAAAAAAAAAAACTCAGTTCAAACTTGTGGATTGTATTTATATGTGTATAATTTGTTGAGTCATTTAGAAACAGACATACAGAATGAAAACTGCACAACAACAAAGATAATTGTGATTTTATCTACCTTTAACAGATGCATGAATGATGTGATACTTGTTTTTACATTAGCCACTGTTGAAAAGTAAAATTATGGAACATGAATCAGGATAAATACCAGTAGGATAAGAAAACATTAACAGCATGTATTTGTTTACTTCTGTCCATCACTAATTCTTTAAAGACTTATTGGAAACATCTGAAAAGGCAGCTGTGATCTTCTGTCTCAGTCCCGCCATAGAAATCAAGATGGCCTCCTGTTGTCAAGACAATAGGAAAGAATGAAATTAAATCACTGTTCCATACTGGTGAGCAAAACAGACTTTTCGAAGCCAAAGTTTAGACCATAAGGCATTTGCTTGTCATACAAAGTGTATAAATACATTCTGAAAGTTTGATTTAATGAATCTGTCCTCACCTCTGTGCGAATGGTCCTGCTGCCCTGACCAGGGCAGGTGTTGAGGTAAAGGTCAAATAAAACACTGGGATCTGTCACATCCAGGTTTTGGTCAGAATCTACGCTGGCCTCCAATCCCTGAAGCCCTCCAAAAACCACCAAAAGATGCCTAAAAAGTGGGAAGAAGGGTAAACTCATAAAACAAAATTATACAATACCATTAATGACATAACAGAACTAAGAGTCTACAGCCATGTTCGCAGCTCTGTGACGTTGTACTTGAGCACAGCAATGTGCAGGAAGGATCATTACAATAACGTGCACTGGACTTGGTCACGTGACTGTACGAAGGCAACTGGGCTAGCAGTAGCACTAGCAAGCTAGAAAACTATTCAGGTCATTTGTGGCAGGCGCTGTATAACATCATTAGATTTCTGATCGGCATGGGCCCTCGGTGCGATTCAGTTTGATGCATCTTCTTTAAAGTAATATAAAGACTAAATCAAATTCTTAATATGATTTTTTTTCAAGAGATGGCTATTGAGTTCATGGTATGACAAAAATTAAATATGCCTCGACATGTCACAGACAAAGTGCTTTGAGTTAATGAGTGCTCAGCCAAAAATAATACAACTAATGAGAAAGTGTGGCTGACAAAAATTGCATTTAAATGGTCATTTAAAAAATTGAATTCAATTCTGATGACAGGAATATTGTTTAACAAACCTCACCACATTTGAACAAGTTAACGTTTTGGCCTGATGAAGGCACTAAATGCATCCTGAGAGGAACGTGGATTTGTGAACCAAGGGTTTTTCTTCTAGCCTGGATCAAAGTAAAGAACCACCTGACCAACACTACTATGACTAATACAAATATTCTCTGACTTCAACTCCTATTACAGTGGCTCTGGACCTACCTGAATGGTGACAGTGTGGTTTGGTCCACGTTGCTGCCTCTCTCTGATGTGCCAATAGTTAGATCGTATCCTCCTTTATATGGACTTTCTGTAAAAACTGCACCTGCATTAACAAACCAACAGCAGTCACAGCAGGGCCAAGTCTCATACTGGATTCTCTCTTAATCCTCCGAGGTGTTGCGAACTGATGTTTGAGTAAAAGGCGTGCATTAATACAATGAGAAACCTACTGAGACAAGATGCCAGGCGGACACTATAACCCCAGTAGAGACCTCCTTCAGTCCTGGGCACGTGAGGAGCCACCACCACACCTTTATATATTTTGCTCTCTGAGGATGATGGAAAGAGAGATGGACTCACACTTTGCTGATGTGTAGCATCTTAAGTGCAATGGCAACTTTACTCAGAGAAAATATATATGAAACATTAGAAAGGTTAAAGTGTGTTGGACTAAATTACCCTGATTCTGTGTCTTGTGGAGCTGTACTGTGACTCGAAGTCCAGACTGCAGCTGTTTATCAATCCGAACATCCTGTGGGAGCACATGGACGTAGCTCAGTCATATAGGCTGAATAATCAGTTAGCAGGCAACAATACTGAGAATTTGTTTGGATCATTATTTTAAGCAAAAAATTCAGTGGTTAATAAGACAATGACAGTGATCTCCATGATGACTCACCTTTCTCATTCCACAGTTGACCAATGAACCTTTTCCTTGTTTAGCTGGCCTGTCGAGAATAATTCCTTCCCGGTATTCCGATTCCTCGTCTATCCTCATGTGGTGAGGACTATCTAGAGGATTAAGCAGGCCTGGCAGAAAAAGACCAACAACTTTTGAAAAATTGTCTTCTTTTGCCATCATTTATGAGTCTGATACTAAATCTGGGTGAAGCTTACATTGTAATACAAAGTATAAACAAATAATCAAACTGCGCCTTCAATTTTTACATCTAGATTAACTACAGAAACAGCTTTGACTCTTCTAGTGTTTTTCCGTGCATCTGTATTGTTGTATCATATCCTTCTTCATAAGGACTTCCTGTAAAAACTGCACCTGCATTAACAAACCAACAGGAACAAGGACACAGCAGTCACAGCAGGGCCAAGTCTCGTACTGAATTTTCTCTCTCACTCATGCAGCAGCACAGTTTTCTGAGCTGTGTTCTTTTTATCCAATGGACATTACATTTTGCCAAATACAAGCCCATGGTTTGCTAGGACGTTACTCCAATACCAATGAAGATGGCTGGATTTATATATGATTTGTCAAATAAAATAGCAAAAAAGCAAAATATAGGTCATGTTTAATTTACAGACAAGTGCCGATTCTGTAAACAGAGGGTGTGGAGGGAGAGACACAAGGCAAAGATAATGTGTGAGGTGAAAGAGATGATGTGCTGGTGTATCTACTTCATCTGAGGCCCCACTGCAAAAACCCTTGCTCTAAATGAATGTTTGTAAAAAATATGGAGACTTTGAAATTACCTGCATATTGTAAATCTTGATGCTTTGGGAAAAACCACTTGCGCAGATACCTGGAGGAGATGAACAGCTGTAATCGCCGACTGATTAAATGGGCTGGTGAACAGATTATATTATGTTCCTACTTACTGTGGACATTCAAGATACTGAAGTATTCTGGCAAGCTGAACGCAAGCATGTCCTTTCTTCCCAACACCTTTAAATTCTCCTTCAATGCTCCTGAAGGACACAGAAAACAAATCTTTTTATAAGCTTTCTGATTGTTTGTGTTCAATTTTAAGATAATTATTATTAATTAGCTGGACTTCTTTGTTAACTTACTTGACATCTTCCCCTTGTTCGTCAAATACAATAATCTCATCAACACAGAATACAACACAGGCTCGCGCGATCTGTCCAGCCAGGTATGTACGAAGCTCAGCAGACTGAGCGTTGTCCAGGACAGAACCCGGCAGGGCCACACTCACTGTGTAAGCTCGACCTAAATGAAACACATCACACATTATAGCACATCACTAATTTACTTATTAAACAGCAATCTATCAATAAGCAGAAAATTATGAAATGATGAAAACATTACCTTGTTTGTTCTGGATTTCTTCTAGTTTTTTTCTTTCTGCTGCCTCTTCCTGTTTCTGCTTCTCCAACTGTTTAATCAGCTTGGCCTCCTTCCTTTGCTTCTTAGTCTCCTTTACTGTTATTCAGGAAGAATCAATGACATTGGTTAAAAAAAAGGATGTTTAAACAAAGACTGGGCCTATCCAGACTCAGGGTCTAAGACAGTGATTCAGAACTTTTTGGATTTGTAACCCATTAAAATAAAGCAACATCCACTTGTGACCCCAAGTGAGTATATTTACTTAATTTTCCTTCTCAGATCTGATTTCAGCCAAAGGATTTATTACTTAACAATTAGTCGAGTAATCAATTACATGACCGACACAAAATTAATCAGAAGCTGTTTTTATAACTACCTAATTGTCATTTCTAAAGTATCAAGTACCTAGTTCCAGCTTCTCACTTGTGAGGATTTGCTGCTTTTCGTTGTCCTGATAGTAAATTGAACATGTTTAAGATTTTGATTGTTGTTCGGACAAAACAAGCGATGAGAAAACGCCACCGTGGGCTTCAGAATATTCACACCAGACATTTATAAATACAAATGACAGTATGTAATTCTCTACCAGTCTAATTTGTCGATACAGCACACAGCAGGACATTTATCTCCTGAAATGAAACTGCAGGACACAGTGGTAAACTGCATCAAGTTCGCTTAAGGTGGAATGAGCACCATGTGAGCACAAGACACCTCCTTAGACAAAATTTACATTAACCAAATAGATGGTAAAATATCTGATTGCATACAGGTCGGGTACATACATATGTATACCAGAACAAAACCACTTAAGAACTTTAATCTAGTGCTGAAGCTGATGAAACTACGTCCTGCTCTATATAAGTAAAGCTGGTAGGAGTCTGAGAGCCGCTAGCTGTGAGGGGCTATTTACTCACGTTCTGCCTTCCGTTTCTTCCAGTCCACCCTTCCCTCAAGCTGTAATAAAAACAAAAAACTTATTATAGGTGACGGAGAAAAAAATAATAGTGTACTACTTTATACAATAATGATACAGTACCTGAGAAGTCACAAAGTTGGCTCGTTTCACTGCACAGCCGGTAGACATTTTTACACGCACCAGCACGTGAACTTTATTTACTTCCTGGTCTATATCCGCTCTTCAAAATAAAAGCCTGCTAGTTTTGCACGTTCAAAGATAAAACCCGAGGGTTTTATTCATTGAAATATGATTTTTAAATTTGTGATATTTATAGAAGTACTCACCTATAAATATTTTATATCATACCATTCACCTGAAAAGTAGGAACTTTCAGTTTTCACTATAAAATGATATCTTTTTATGATTTATTATTTTATAAATTCAAAGTGTAAAACAAAAGAAAGTCTGGAATCATTTTTATTTTTGACAGGGTGGCATGGCAAGATTTATTTGTTTATTTAGTCATTTATTGCAGTCAATATTGCCCGGAAATCTTTATTCTTTTTAGCTCTTTCCGTTTCTTTTTTTCCCAAGGAATGTGTTATCAGACAGAAGACAATTATTATACAAAATGTACTTTGTTTATAGGAGTGTGGTTAAAATACTAACGTTTTCCACTGTTTATAAGAGCACTAAAAGACAGCCATTCACAATCCTTTACTCTCCTACACTTTCTTCTCTGAACTTATTATTAATGTGCAAGTTAGAAAAATATGGGATCAGAGGAGTGGCTTTAAATTGGATTAGTAGTTATTTGACGCAGAGGCGTCAATTTGTAAAGTTGGGTGAACATCAGTCGAGTGATCTGGACATTGTATGTGGGGTGCCTCAAGGTTCAGTCTTGGGACCTAAATTATTTATACTATACATTAACGATATGTGCAAGGTTTCGGATTTAGTGAAAGTGGTTTTGTTTGCTGATGACACTACCATATGGGCATCGGGTGAGATCG